TTACCGACGCAGCGCCTCCTGTGGACCACGCGTGCGCCCGTCCACCTAGGCCGCCGTGCCTTTTGCCACACATTGCTTCTCCTGGGCAGCGCCCATTGTGGGCTTGGTTTGGTGGTCGTTGCCCTTTAAATTTTCTAAAAGTATGTGTTAATTTAGTCTCTGAAATAAACTGGTAAAATTAAGTAGTAAATCATAGTAAAATCATAAAAATGCCAAACCAATTTTATTAGTCCCCTAAAGTCATAATCTACCGGTTATATTTTGTTCACATAGTTTGATAATATTCTTGGAAGCTATATAATTAATTTAATATATTTAATATTATAAAAAGATAATAAGTAGGAATTGTTGTCATAAATTGATAATAGTATTGGATCTGAAATTTTTACAAGAGGCTTCTAGCAATATTAGGTACTCACTTTGTAATTTTTTGTAGCTCGGAATAATTAGTTTGCTAAATAGATAATGATGTCATATTTGAATAATGATTAAATTGAGAGAATGAAATAAAGAAATAACTTGGGTTTATGTAACTAAAATAATTGTTGGGAAATAGCGTCTTATTCGATAACATGGATATGTAGTCTAAGCACGGTAGTCGTTAGAACTAGCTCGTTAACCTAAGAGGCGTAAATCGTATTTTTTTCGAGTCACGGTTGCGACCGATTAATTATGTCATTGCATTGCATCGCATTACATATCATATTGGTACGATGATGGATCAACGGATCAATTGAAGGATGATTAGAAATCTGAAGGTGGTGTAATGGTATTCTCAAGATAGATGATGCAATGAGCTTTCTATCCAGTTGATGGTGGATGATCGAAGATGCGAGATACTAACTTTTGGTTATATTTTACCCAAGCAAGCCCCGATGCATAACCCTACTTTTACGCAATTTAAATTATATTTGTGTAATAAGTTTTAAGGAGTTGAATGAAACCCACTTGCATATATATAGGACAGGATCGTGTAGATTGCTATGCTATAGGACTCGGTAGAAGTCGAGTGATTGCTTGTCACTTTCATGAGAGATAAGAATTATATTACTATATTATTATCACTTGGAAAATATAAATGGTGGAGAGGAAAAAATGGTGACCGGACATGGATATGATTTAGGTATTGGTGGGTGTAAGAGGTTGTGTAAATGTCGTGGGACGCGGGGCATGGCTTGGTTACATTTGCTTTCCTCATGTGTGTGGGTTAAGGACCGATCGTTGCATAAGCCATCGAGGCAAGTCACAGACTTATTATCCCGAGCACATACTTAGGTATGGGTGTTTGGAAGACTTGTTGCTCTCTTGTCGTGGGTTTTGGCTCTTTCAGGACCGATTGTCGTGGTTTTTTTTGGTGGAGGAGGTCCTTGCACGCATCTTGAGTTCGGGACTCGGGGCGGAGGCTTGAGTCCCAGATTTGGGACGGGGACCTAGGACCCTGAGGATAGGAGGGTGATGGGTTGGTCCTACTTGTGCCTTGGGTACAAGCGGGACATGTGTTTTCGGGGTACCCGGTGGGGTATTGATTCATGAATCGTCGAGGCGATCTGATACGGTTTGTTTCATGCCTAGCACCAGTAGTTAGAACTGAAAGATGAAAGATGGAATGGAAAAAGGAAATCTCGATTGCTTACCACATGCTTGAAAGTAGTACATGTGCTTACATAGAATGGTTAGTTAATGAACTAATGCAATTGCTACTAAAAATCCAATATAAGGACACACATTTAGTAATGCTTCCTGCAGATGCAATAAACCCACAAGCGGATAGCCTTGCATATATTTGGAGTCTTTCTCTTTCCTCCTGTCGAGGTAGGTCTTCTTTGAGTACAATTGAGTACTCGGGGTTTTATTCACCTGTTACGGGTGATAGGTGGAGGCTAAAGTGACCTTGTGTGTGGATTCCTCTGGTGGGATTAGAGAGGGTTTCCTTTATCTGCGATCATAGTTTTTATTTATAACTCTCACCAAATATTTTATAAAGAAAAGTTTTATAATCTGTTGTCATAGTTTATATATCATTGCTTGACATGTCATGACTAGATATTTATTTCCGTTGTAATTCGATAATAAGTTTTTATTCCATTTGTTAAATTAAATTATTCATAACTCGATAATATGATTATATTCCTTGATGATGTTGTATTAAAAGTGATGTAAGAAATTGTTAAGAATGATGTAAGCTTTATTCTCTCATTTGTGATCCTGATGTAAAAACGTGGATTTTCGGATTGTCCCTCGAGGGGTGTCCACGGGCTGCGTAATTTGGTGTTCTCCTTGGTGTTTAGTGTCTAATGAAAGAGCGAGCACTCACGGGAGGTATTAGATTAGGCGGTTCGCCACACTGTTGACTGCTTGCGCCTTGCGCCGCCCTCGTCTAAGTTCTAAGCGTGTTTGAGTGACACCTTTATTTGTTGCATCGTCGCGTCTAATGAGCATTTGCTTCTTTGGAGGGCGATCCGGAGAGCCTGGCATGTGTGTGTCTTTGGAAGCATACAAAGCGAAGGCGGAGCACTACCTATCGCGCGATGCTCGGGCGGAACGGCGGCGGCGGCAGTAATAATGTGGAGCGGAGCCCGGTGGGATGTTGTACGCGCGTGCGGCGGTGGAACAATCTCCGAGACGTCACCTGGGCGCCTTCCTCCTCACCTTTGCTCTCGCTACCTCTCTCGACGCCGACACCTCCTCCGCCGGCGGTTACGGCTGAGGCCTCCTCCATTGCTCTGCTGGGCGCCCACGCCGCGCCGTTCGACCCTGCTAGCGCTGTGCGCGCTCATGAGCGGACTACATCTGGGCCGCAACCCGTTGTGGCTCCGTGCAATGCTTAGGCTGCTGCTGCGAATAAGCTTTGAATGAAAATGGCAGAAGAGAGACAACGACTAGCAATCAATGAACCGCTTGCAAAATTTTGATCTAGTTCCACAATTCCAATTGAAGCAGGCGAACCTATCGATCCACGACGATCTTCATTGATTCAAAGATAGGGTGGGCTGCTTTGTTGGTGGGCGAACGAGGCAGAGAGGCGACGGTCGACGGGCCACGTGCATGGTGGAGTCACCACGGCCGGCGTCGCTTTCGTGGTAATGCTACCTCGACTACTCCCATGTCCTATCTTATCCCCCTCGTGATCGGCGAGGGCAGCGCGGTGGCCTTAGCAGGTCGAGAGGGATCGGCCGTGGCGGCGACCGGATAAGCGGCGACGTAGGCGAGGCTAGAGCTCTCAGCCACGGCACGCAGACGGGCGCGATAAGCGGGTCGGCCAGTGAACTGCTATGACAAGCGCGGGCGAGGCGGCACGGTGCGGGGACGAAAGTATTTCGGCCCTCGACGCCCGGACGCGGTGACCCGCGGACACCGGCTGAAAACAGAGTGCTGCACGACGATTTTTGGCGTGCGTGTTTCTTAGATTTCACCGTGGCACCTGGCTCGTTCAAGTTACTAGCCCCAAGCTTGCACTTAGAACTACAACCTTTATTCGAGCACTTTTCGGTTTCGAGCAGCTGGCGGGGAAGAACAGAGGCCCCAACATCGGTTTGTCAGTCAGTGCAGTGTGGAGAGGAGGCATGGTCAAAACCGCTCAACGTCGGTCAAAACAATCTTGCCCTCGTCTAGGTGCTAAAATGAATGGTTTTGATAGTTGGGGTACCGGTACTATCTGGTTTTGTAGTTGAGGGTTAAAATTAGACAACACAATAGTTGAGGGGTCAAAAGTGGACTTAATCCTTTAAATTATCTCTTTGCCCTGGTTTGGGTGGTTTTGAAGATGGTTTTATCTTTTTAGTTATTAAAAGATCAGCAAATATTTGATAAGGTTTTTATGGCTATATGCTTTCAAAAATTTCTTAAAAAACTAGGATAAATTGGGATAAGTCACATCAAAATAAAATCTTTAAACCTCACAAAAACATCTCTGGATGCTTAAAAATAGATTTAGCTATAAAAATGGTAAAATATCCACAAAAATCTAAAAATTCCACAAACATTTTAGTCCATGTATAAACTCATCAATTTTTTTTTCTTGGCAAAAATATGAGATGCAACTAGCATGAATTCAACATACATTAACGTTGAATGAATAATCCTATGCATTTGTGTTGGTTGTTTATTATGCTTTTTATTTTTATGAGTTCTTAAAACATGTTTATACATTGATTAGTGTGTCTTGGAAAGTTTCTAAGGTTTTTAATATTATTTCCGTTTTCTAGAGGTAAATATATTTTTTGAAGAATCTAGAGATATTTTTTCATGATATATAAATACGAAGTACTTTATTTGGGTTTGGCATATCCCAATCTATCCTTAAAATTTTAAAACCTTATATAGACTTTTTTTTTGCGAACACTTATATAGACATTTTATGTGGTTTAAAAATCCTATAAAGTAATTGCCAATTCTTTTAAACTAAAAAGATAAGGCGACCTTTAAAACCACTTAAACCAAGGAAGGAAGGTAATTTGAACGGTTTCAAGAGTTTAACAGCTAAAACTATTGGTTTTAAAGCTTGAAGAGGAATCAGACTATGGTGACGTAAGAGACTATCGGTAAGATCTGGTACACGTATAGGCCATTACACCGTACAATCTTCCGGATACGTTATATACACTTCAGAATAAACACTACACTGAACTCAAAGGGTACCAATAAGCCTGCAGCCCTCTCAATCAATACTCAGTGGTAACCATTAACCAATCAAATTGATTTTGCATCCATTTTTTCCCAAAGAATAAAGACATGAATGGACCCTTATTCACACAGAAATTTCTTTTGAAAGGATAGTCACACACAAAATTGCGGAGGTGCTTCATAGTTCCAACGCTGATGATGCGAGCTGTTTTCTTGAGCTTCCACAGAGCTGCGCGAGTATCGTAGCTAACCCACCCTCTGCGCCACGGCCGACCTACTCAACCGCTTGCTCTCGTGGATCTTGGCGTACACCCGCTTCGTCCGGACGCAGAGCAGGACGTCGAGGCCGAACCCGACGACGCAGGCGAGCGCCATGATCAGGAACACGAGGCGGTAGCAGTGTGCGCCGACGCAGGTGTTGCCGCTGCTGGGCACCGCGGTGGCTTCCGCGTCGTAGAGAGGCCCGCCAGCAGGCCCGAGAAGAGGAAGGAGCCGAGCGGCAGGTTGAGGATGAGGATGTTGTAGATGAGACCGTAGTACTTGAGGCCGAATAGCTCTGACGCCGTAGGCACCGTGACCGCCAGCCGCACGCCGTAGCAGATGCCGACGACCACCGAGCCGATGAAGAGGGAGCCTGGCATCGCCAACGCCATCACGATGTATCCTATGGCCATCAGGACCTGCGAGGCCGCGTTCCACAGCGGGCGGGGAATTGCTCGTGTCCTGGGAAATTTTGAAATGTCCATTCAGGTGGTCAGATTATATGTCAAAAAAGGTAATATGTCAAAAGAAAAAAAATGCATTCAGAGAAATGCAGTAAGATGACAAACATTTTCTTCTTCTGACTAGAAGAACGAGGATCGGAACTAAAATAAACGGTTCCTTACGATGTACGTACACCGTTGTATACTAGTAAGTTGTAAAAGTTGCTCCGAAAGGGATACCAAACTTTGGTTTTTGCTGAAGAACAATGACAGTCAAAAGCTATGGCGCACTATGCCTCTGAAACAACACCAACACCTAGGTCTTGTTCACTTTGCAAAAAAATTGAACCCGATAAATAGTACCACTTTCGCCTTATTAGGCAAATATTATTCAATTGTGGACCAACTAGGCTCAAAAGATTCATCTCGTAATTTCCAACTAAACTGTGTAATTAGTTATTTTTTTACCTACATTTAATACTCCATGCAAGCGGCTAAAAATTGATGTGATGGAGAGAAAGTGAAAAAACTTAAAATTTGGATGGCATCTAAACAAGTCGCTAATGCTGAATCTAACAAGTCGACCGAGCTATCACTCTTTCAGGCATAAAGAAGGCTGGAACTGGCACAAAGGCCACAAGCTGCACATGACGCACTACGCAACCACCCACAGCCACCCGTTTGCTTATCTGTTTCTACCGATGCACCGACGCATACAATATTCCTAAAAGGGTCACATTGGTTTGTGGATGGACCAATTTCTAAATATGTAAATAAAAAGATTACGCAGACAAACAAGTTGCGTCTCTAGGTGAAAGCCCCTCCTTCGGCCTACGACGGTGGCGTCTATGGATGTCACTTTCCTCGTTGAAGACGTCGTTAACTACAGCCTATCTATGCCCCCGACATCACTTTGAGCTCTCCCTGTCCTCTCCACCCCCTCCTATCCCTCTCCTTTCTTGGTGTGTGCCTCCCTGCTCCTTGCTCCCCTCTTGGGTGAGACTGACCCTGGCTATCGGTCATTGCCGTTTTTTCGACGAGTGTCCTCCTCTGGCGTCTCTGCTCCGTCGGTGCTCTCCTTGATGGTGCCAGAAAATCTTATGTCGGGTGGTGTTTCCACTGCTGTCGCCATTCCCCTCCATGGTTTTCTCCCCATGGACGGCGTTGAATGGTGGTACGTGGGCCAGGAAGAGATGTAGGTATCACCATCAGTTTCAAGGGAGGTCGCCGTGTCCGGTGATCTTAGGCTTGCGTGTCCGTCACCACTCATAGTCCCCATTCCACCGGTTGATCCTCAAATGGAGGGCGGCGGCGGAGCGGGGTAGCTACGAGGAGTGGTGCAGGGCATAATGGCCACGGCAAAACCGGCGAGTATGCTTTCGGTGGTGGCGTAAATCGACGATCGGTTGGCGTCTTTCGGCTTGCGTCTAGGATTATCCTTGTTGTATGGTTGTTGTTGTTTCGGTTAAGTGTTGTTGTAATCCCTCTCTCCCTCTTTCATGTGCTTCTTTGATCTTCATGAGTCGACCCCCTGTATCAGGTGTTTTGCACCCTTCCACCCACCGGTTTGGCGGGATATGTGAAAATGAAATCATGTGGGAATCGTTTTGATCCCGGTAGTTCACCTAAAAAATAAAATACCAGTAGGGGTACGCCCCTCCTGTTCAATTTAAAAAAAAAGGCGATGTTGAATTTTCTGAACCGAGCGCGTCCGTACTACGAAGCTACGGGTCTACGACTACGATGAACAGAGACGTGGGGATTTTCTACTTCCATTTCCACTTGTATGATTCTAGTATGATCGTGACACTACCTGATTTGGTCACGCAGGCAGGATTTGGAGTTATATGATTCCTTGCCAATTGGGGAGAGGACGAGAAGGAAGGGTAATTACTTACTTGATGAAGTGCTCGGAGATGGTGCCGGAGGCGATGCGACCGAAGAATCCCCAGATGCTGGTCATGGAGACGAAGAGGGAGACGTCGACGTAGCCCATGGCCACGCCCATCTGCCCCAGGTTGTTCATCACGGCTAGCCCGTGCCGACGCCCATGAGGAACGACGCGAACATCAGCCAGAAGTCCAGCGACGTCAGCGCCTGCGCGATCGTGTGCTCCTCCCCGAGCCGCGGCCGTTCGCCGGGGCCCGCGCCTCCTCCTCCTCAGTCCTCCCCGCCGCCTTCGCCGCGAGAAGGAGCGGCGCGGCCGCCGCCGCCAAGGAGTCCGCCTCCTCGAGGTCGGCGTTCGCGGCCTTGCGGGTCCTCACCCACGATTTCCACGCCAGGAGCGCCGGCACGGTGGCGGGGACGCGAGGAGCACCAGGAGCACGGCGACGAAGACGGCCGAGACGACCCCGCCGCCGCCGCCGAGCCCCGTGAGGTCCGCGGCGAGGAGGTACAGCGCGATCGCCACGGCGAGCGAGTTGATCGCGGCGAAGCAGCGCCCGTCATCGTCCTCGTCCCCGCGGCGGCGCCGCCCGCGGCCGGGCCCCCTCGCGGAGGAACACCATGGCGAGCGCGCAGACCGCGGCCGGCATGACGGCGAGCATGACGAGGAACGAGGCCGGGTCGTCGGCGAAGAGCGCGGAGCAGGTGTCGGTGAAGATGGCGGTGCTGAGGCCGACGTACCCTTTGAGAAGGCCGGAGACGGGGCCCCTGCTCCGGCGGAAGTTGCGGATGCAGGTGACGAGCACGGCGGTATTCATCCACGTGGTGCTGTTCCCGCCGAGGCAGAGGAAGACGCACATCTGCCAGTAGGGGAGCGGCGCGACGGTCCCGGACACGACCATCCACTGCGCGCCGTATCCCAGGAGGCCCTCGAGGGAGCCGATGGCAAGGAGGAGCCAGGTCGGGACGCGGTCGGAGGCGAGCCCCGCGAGGAGGCCGAACGCCTTGCCCACGTCCTTGGCGACGGAGAGGCCGTTGAGCTGCAGCTGCGTCAGGCCCATGAGCGTCTTGAGCGCGTGCGAGTAGTTGGAGAAGGTGTAGTTGTTGCCGGAGATGCACTGCACCCACACCGCCGTCACCAGCCCCAGCCACCGCCCCCACCGCGTCCCCGCCATTGCGTCCAGCGCCGCCGCCACCATCGCTTTCGCTTCCGCCTTTCCAAATGCCCGCCCAGTCGCACTGGCGCTTGCTTGCTTCAAGTTCAAGGCGGCGCGGACGCCGCCAGACGCACGCGCTTGGGTGGTTGGTGCTTGGCCGCGTCCCGAGGAGGAGGAGGAGGTGGTATGGAAGGGAGGCGGCAAGCAGGGGCGGTGGAGGCGCGTCGCTTTCCGGTGCGGGGCGGGCGTCGGGTTACGAACGGCTCGTCGCTGTTGGGGTTTAGGAGGGATGTACTAAGCAAGAGGCAAGCAGGGGACGGTGGTTTTATAAGCGGCTGAGAGCTTGGTACGTCTTCTTCTTGGAGTAATTTAATTATGAGAAGGTATGATGGCGATGTTTGCGATCATTTTCCTGTTTGCTCCTTCGTCGTGAGAAGAAGGTTCTGTGATTAATTGATTTTTGATGGAAGGGACGATCTGTTTCCAACTTTCCATTAAGGGCGTGTTTAGTTTCGAAATTTTTTGCTTTTTTTGACTCTTGAAGCACTTTCGTTTGTATTTGGTAAAATTATCTAATTATGGACTATTTAGGCTTAAAAGATTCGTTTCACGATTTCTCGGCTAAGCTGTGTAATTAGTTTTTTTTTCGTCACGTTTAGTACTCCATGCATGTGCCGTAAGATTCGATGTGATGGATCTTGTGCAAAAAAATTTGAATTCTGGAGGAAACTAAGCGGGGCCTAAGTATGTGCTGGCTGCTATACATGGTTTTGATGATATTTTTGTCCTCGTCGGAACGTTAGACTTAGGGTCTCTTCGTTAGGAGAAATTCGGAGAAATTTGGATGGTTCGGAGGAATCAAGAAGAAATTTGTGAGAAAATATGGTTTCGGATGAAAAAAAAAAAGTGGATCAAGCCAGAGTTTAGGGGCACGAACGGGCCTTAACCTTTTTTTTTTATACCGTGACCCTAGGCGGGATTAGCATCGCTAAATGCGTCCCCTCAAGTGGTGATTATGTTACAACTAGTATACTATGTTTTTTACATATTTTTTATTTTTAGCCCTTTTTTCAAGTTTTATCACAAATGTGTTCCTGTGAGGTATGATATTAAAATCTGGACCCTTAGCTCGGCTCCGGCATTGTTGGCGCCGAGCTTACACTTCTTAAGCGCCATTGTGGTCGGGCGCCGAGGTTTTGGGCTCGACGCAGACGTGGCGGTGACTTGGCGGGTAGCTTCGCCGCCGAGATCCTAGCGTCGAGCTTTGCACCAATATCTATGGCGCCAAGTGGTGTTTTAACCCGGCCCCAACCTTTTCTGTTCGAGCCTTCTTCCTCTTCTTTCTCCATCCTCTCGGGTTTTTTCTCTCCCCCCGCCCTACCTCTCACTTAATCGACATATTGGACCTTGAAAACTTTGATTTGATCCAGAATCTTCGAGAGCAAGGTATCCTCGCTCCCCTCCTAATTTTTTTTCGCATCGATTCGGTATATATTAGTCGGATTTTTCAACCTAAGAATTGTCATGAATTAGAGTTTCATGCAATTTTTAATATCTGTATTATACAACCATAGGATGCTAAGGCATGGAAAAGCTAGTAAACTAAGGTAAACGTAGCGCATGTTGTTATGTTATGGATTCATTGTTGTGCATTAAATGGGAAACCCTAGGTTTAGGGTTTAATGTTAATTGCTTTCGGTTCTTAGAACGAAATTGGTTGAATTGTAGTTATGTACGGATGACCAAAAATGCCTTCGACCTATTATCTCTGCCTAGTGATGTTCCAGTGCCCATGTGCTTTTACGGCGATCCTTGCAAGGTAGCCAAGTCCGATGAAGAGGACACATATAGGCAGAGGTATTGGATGTGTTTCAATTTTGCGTTTGAGCCTACACTTCGTCAGCGCCGCATTAACAAGATGGTGATGAATTGATGTTTGTGTCATATGACATCTCGCATGATTTTTTTGTTTTATAACAATTGCATTTTTTGCAGACCCCTCCACCGCTCTGTGATTTTGAGCAGTGGATCGACACTGAGATCAAGCCTGAAGACAAGGAATGGATACAGAACTATTGCGGTGGGAGATAGAGGACAAGGAGATGATGGAGAAGAGACGCGGAGAGGAGGCTACAAAAAAGGAGCACAAGGAAGAGGAGAAAAGGAGGCGTGTTGCTGCGTACAGGAAGGAGAGGGAGAAAAAGCTTGAGCGTGCACGCCGAGCGAAAACAGCGATGGAGGAGCATCCTGATGCACTGATGAAGAGAAAGTGGCCTCGTTGCACTCAATAGTCTCCATGACTTGATAGTTTTATGGTTTATTCATGAACAATGTTATCTACTGCCGGCACGTAGTTCTAGTATTATTGTGTTGTTTAATGTGACATAGTATTGGAATTTTCATTATGTAGTTGTTTTCATTATTTGTGGTCATAATATTCAGTATAATGTTACAGACGCAGTGAAATATGATCACGTGTTGCAAACACAACCCAATGAAGTAGGGCATTATATAATTCAACACACAAAACACATGAAATGGCATGTGAGAACATGTACCAAACTAGGGTACAGAGTTCCTTCGACTAAACCTAACATGCCTTAGGTAATTAAACCAAACAACAAATACATGTATGTGCCATGTGAATAAGATAGGGTCGTCCTAGTGGTGTGACCACATAGCAAATTGTGTTGCACCTTCTCCACAGTAGCCTCCCATTGTTGTTGTTGGTGGTGGCTGGGGTAACGGCGGAGGCCCCTTGTTCTTATGGTTAGGGCAGGTGCAATATGGATCATTGCAGAATACCTCCTGTGAATCGACACCATTGTTGTTGTTATCCAGTTCGTTGTCATTGTAACCGCTGCTAACTTCTCTTTCTAGATTGAAGATACGGTCCTGCAGGTAGTATATGTACTCCGCATGCAGATAAATAGGTCGAGGATCGACCCACCTAATGAACCCACAATTTTCTTCGACCAAGCAAGACTGCAATAAATATGTCATGTAAGTTGTATAGAAGAGGAATATATTAAAGAAATAAATAGTAATAGCAATTACCCATGCTCGCGGGCATTTGAAGAAACGACGACCTCCATCTATTCCCTCGATGAACATCTGCACTAGGCAGTCCTCACCATGCATGTATTTTGGCCACTCTTCTTTCCGTTCATCGTATCCTCTTAGTGGTGCCTCTTTGGTGAAATCAATTTTGCTCTCAACTAGGAACCTCTCATAAAGAGCTTTCTCAAAGAAATTGGGACCAAGAGAACCCTCCCACACAATGGTAGTTCCCTTCCCCTTTCCTCTCCATCTGGACGATCCTCCAGACATTGGTACTGCAACAAAACAAAATACTAGTTGGGAAGTAAGTAGCAATGCATCCAACATTGCGTATATATAGGCAGAGGCAGGTTTAGTTGTCGTTTCAATGTGTTATAACTGGTCACAAGAAATCTAATTAGTTTCACTGAAGAGCCTATTTCAATGGACACTGAAAAGCCTAGATTCGTTTCCTGAAAAGTCTATTCCTCATTGACATGATAAATCACCGAAAAGCCTAGATGCTATAGGTGTACTATGTAAGTGAAGTGATAAATCGCTGCTGTCATCTTACTCCTCGTCCTTGTAACTGAAAAGTCTATTTTCATTGTCTAAAAAGCCTAAATTCGTTCGCTGTTACTGAAAAGCCTAGATGCTATAGGTGTACTATATAAGTGAAGTGATAAATCGTTGTTGTCATCGTACTCCTCGTCCTTGTAACTGAAAAGTCTATTTTTATTGTCTGAAAAGCCTAGATTCATTCACTGTTACTGAAAAGCCTAGATTCATCTGCAAAGTGCCTGTACGATACGATTGTACGATACATGTTCTAATGAATTTACATTTAATATGTGCACTATATTTGTACCTTTTTAGCAGTTAGTATAATTAATGATTCACGAAAAAAATTCACAAGAGTTTCTCTTGTTTCAGGAGCATCCACAGTTACAAACAGAGACATCATTATATAAGCCAAACATTTAATCGTAAAAGGAGCACAATACAACCACATCGAACATCACAATCAACATAACTTGTCCTGCATAGTCCAAATAGTTCACAATGTCCATGCAGTCCCAAATAGTTATAGGAAAGTAACTACAAAAACCATAATAGTACATACTAACATCTACCACAAACCCTCACTGCTTCCTAGTCTTACCCTTACCCTTATGACCAAGAGCGCTAGTACCTGAAGTGTAAGGGTCAGGTGGACGGCGTCGCCTAGTGCCTAAAGGCTATGTAGGCTGAGTTGAGGGAGCGTCCTAGAGCTAAGAGGGGCCAAGCTCCTCGCGCCTCTGGTCCACGTCGTCCTCGTCCTCATCCTCGTCCTCGTCCCCTGTAGGTGCTTAGCTAGAGGAACCTAAGCCTCCTCTACCTGCGGAAGGAACGTACACGTCTTGCGTCGTGGCTATCCTGCAACCATAATGAGCAGCCGCACGGCGTAGCCAACGTGACAGCCTCTGTTGTACAAAATTATGTTAACTGAAAGAATCTAACGTATTAATAATATGTTTCAAAGAATATTTTGAATCTTACGTCTAGGAAGCTATGCATGTCGTCGTCCCTGACTCTCGGATGAAAGCGCTCGATGTCTTCAACGGAGCATTTGAGGGTATTGGCTTGCAACAAAGCTCTCAATAATAATACTTCTCAACAGATAGCAACAGGTTTTGTTTTCTTTTGCACAAGAATCTAATGTATTATAAGGATGCTACGGCTCGAAGGTGGCACTAACTAAAATAGATACCTCTAACGCATAATGTATTGGTATTCAACTTAATGTTGAAAAATAAGGCAATTGACTTATCACTCTGTCCAAGATTGGTCCTGCCACCACCTGCCTTCCTACATGAGTAGATTGGTCATACGTCGTGTCATCATCGTCGGAGGACTCGATGTCGACGTAGCCATCTTTTGTCCATTATAGCCTCAGCCTGCAACATGTCGCACATTGGTACCAAGCTTGGTAGCGCCTGAACTCATGGTTCGTGTGCGGCTCG